TCGGAAGGAAGATGGGGCAATCTACTTCCGTAGTGATACTGCCTCGGAAACCCAAGGAGGGGTCGCTATGAGTCAGGTCCAACTCGATGGCACATAACAACAATTAAAAAGTTATGAAGACAATAAAAATGTCATCTCATCATCAAAAATAAATACTGTAAACATTAGGAAAAAACCCTGTAGGCTTAAATTACTTAAATATCTCAAAAACAACTGAAGCAACAAATTTAAGGTGTTTCTGATTTTAAGAAAAACATTCTTTTCTGAGTGTTGCGTAGGTAACAAAATATTATAGGGCATATAAAAATAGGAGCAGTAGACAGCTTTCTTCAACTCTAGAAAGATAACCTGGATAGCACAAGACGTGTCAATAATGAGAAGGAAAATGGAAATTCCTTTCTTGAGGGAAGGTGAAAGCTCTTGACAGGTGAACTCTCATAGTAGAGCACCAGCACTCTAAATGTAACTAGATATTGACTGTCAGGGTCAGAAATATCCCTGACCATTGGCAAAGTTGTGTGTATAAACTAGCATTATTACTGGGAGTCATTACTGTGGGAGTAGGGAAGCCCTTAATCTAAAACTAATACAAGAAATTCTTACAGCTTCCATGTCTTAATTTCCTTGACTCTTGTATTTAAAAACCACTGCTATAGGGGACTGTCTGAGAAGTTAAACCTAATTCTTCAAGGCTACACTCCTTGCTAGTAAGACCTTGAAAGTTCAGCCAAGATGTTCAGCCCTTCAACAATGTCAATCACCAATACAAGGACTTGAAATTTTCACTTGCATCATCAACTAGGGTGGGGACAAAAGGACAAAGAAAAGCTTATTCCCATTGCTGGAAGAAAATATTAGTAGTAGGTATTCCACAAATTCTACTACTTAAGATAGTTAATTCTACAGGGTATTATTGCTTTCATAAGCTGATACTTAAAAGTTTCTCAAAATCAACAATGAAATCACTTTTTGTAGTTCAATATTATAAATAATAGCAAAAAGAAAAAATCTAAGAAGATCAAGTTAAAAGCACCATTTTGCAGATCTAAATGCAAGAAGGAGCTCTCATGGAGCAGTGGTTAAATCTTCTGGCTGCTAACCCAAAGGTCATAGGTTTGAACCCACCAACTGCTCTGCAGGAGAAAAATAGGCAGTCTGCTTTCATAAAGCTTTATAGGCTTTAGAAACCTCACTGGGCAGTTCTACTGTCCTATAGGGTTGCTATGAGTCAGAATTAACTTCATAGCAGTGTGGTTTTCTGTTATGTGGTACCTGCAATAGCTTTTTATTTCCTACTAGAGAAACACAGAAAGGAAATCTTCTAAATTTTAGACAATAAAAAATATTTAGAGAACAAACTTTAAACCCACAGAAATTTTGAAATGTGCTGCTAGTAAACAAGAATCTTCAGCTTTCTAAAGATCGTGCATTACATTTTGGAGAGATAAAGATTCATTACCTAGAACTGCCATCACTGTGCCAGGCTCTCTCTTCCTCTTCAGATGTTCCTCCACTGACAGCAACAACTTCACCTTCCTAAGAGACAGTACATACATATTTTATATGGTTTCATAAAAAAATACTCTTAAGATTATGAAAATTATCAGTGATATCTAATAATACCAATCCTAGTATACAACACAATCCACTGCTGTCGAGTCAGATCATAGTGACCCCTCCTTGGGTTTCCAAGGCAGTATTCACTACAGAAGTAGATTGCCCAACCTTCCTTCTGCGGAGTGGCTGGTGGGTTTAAACCGCCAGTCTTCTGGTTAATAGTCAAATGCCTTAGGCACTATGCCACTAGAGCTCCACCAAAACAACTTCCATATTTTTACACAAAAAGTAAGAAATTAAATTTATCCAAAGCTGTAATACTTATTAATATTGGATTTGGAGTAACAATCAGATGATGAGTAGATTTTGATTTTATTTTTTTAATCTCTTTAACAAAAATGATATCAAATTAAATAGCTAACATAGGATATTACGTTTATTTCTTAGGCCTTGTAAAACTTATGTGTTCTTTGCTATAAATTCTTTGAGAAGCTTAAACTTTGGCACATTTGTATTTTATTACTATCAAAATAGCTTTTTATTTTTTTTATTACTATCAAAATAGTTACCATATAAAAAAATGATATTCTACCTCTGGTCTTATTTTATCCAATTGATTAAAAGAGATTAAAAGGTACGTTTCTCTTTAGTAAATATTCACAAGGGAAAGTAGGATAATAACTGTAAAAGCATTATCTTCATAAATTCTGTAAAATCTTAACACAATTTCTTTGCTTGAATAAACTTTATGCTCCAGTTAACAACAGGATTCCACATTTACTAAGCCTTTACTAGTACGTTAAAAACTATTCTAAACACTTTGAATTATCTTATATATATTACCTCCATTATTCTCTGCAAAATGCTGCTGGTTATGGGGAGAATTTTTGTTTCGTCTTTTAAATAAAAGAAAGTTTAAGAAATTTATCCCAAACTGTGTAACTAATAAGCAATAAAGCCAATTTTAAACCCAGGTTATTTTAGTCCAAAGCCTAGACCACTGTCTGCAAGAATGGTTCAAACTTCTTATTTGCTGGGCACATTCAAATTACTTTTCAGGAGGACAATGGGATGTATTCCTTTTCTGTTTAAATAAAATAACCTGGTTTTTGGGGAATGATTTTTTTATTTTAATGTCCTGATAAGAAAAAACTGGACATTATAAGACTCTTCTACAAAACTTAGAATCCTAACAAAAAATGAAAGATCAAAATTAATCAGTAAATTTAGTAAATTTAATCTCTGCTTAGTGTTACTGAGAAAAAAATCTGAACAAATTATCTTATTTTTCTCACCCTTTGTATATTACTTGACACAGGAAGAAGCAGAATTATTTTGAGTACAAAATAAAGACGTATTCTACTGAAATACAAAATAATTAA